GAAATGACTTGGAGGGACGTACACAGACTGAGATGGAACTAAGGCAAACCATCACTGCCTTAGAGTGCAGACTCATGGAGGCTTTGAGTACTATCGATGCTATGAAGGCAAAGATAGAGTCACTCGAGTAGCATGTTAATGCTGGCGTGACCGAGGTAGCCAGTAATGTTGTGGTGACGAGGGAGGCCAAGATCAAGGCTCCCAAACCCCCTGTTCAAAGGTGTTCGTGATGCACAAGAAGTGGAAAACTTCCTTTGGCACTTGGAGAACTACTTCTGGCATGGCAAAGTGAGGGACGACGAGGCCAAGATCAACACTGCGGTATTGTACCTCTCAGAGACTTCCATGCTATGGTGGAGAAGGAAGATGGCCGACGTGGATAAAGTTCTATGTACTATTAGCACATGGGATCAGTTCAAAGTGGAGTTCAAACGATAGTTCTTTCTAAACAATGTCTTGTACGAGGCAAGGTGCAAGCTTAGGGAATTGAAGCAAATAGGGAGCATACATAACTATGTCAAGGAGTTCACTACCCTTATGCTTCAAATCCCCAACCTGACCAGTGATGACTTGTTGTTCCACTTTATGGACGGGTTGCAAAATTGGGCTAAGCAGGAGTTGCAATGCCGACAAATCACTGATATAGACCAAGCCATAGTGGAGGCTGAATCATTGATGGATTTCAGGCATGACAAGCACGACAAAGGCAATGGCAAGGAGTCAAAGGTTAACAATGTCAAAGGTGGGGGAGACCGTGGCAATGTCAAGGAGATACAACAACAATACTCTAAGACTCAATATTTCAAAAAGTCGAGTGGTCGTAGGGCTACGCCGAGACGAAGGCACAGGTCGAGAAGAAGGAATGCTATATATGCGGAGGGCCACATGGCTTCAGGAATTGTCCTGACCTCGAGATCCTCAGTGCCATAGTACGTGAGCGGAAGGAGAAACCACAAGGAGAGAGTCCAGGAACCGCACAGTTGGGTATGATCGGATTATGTGGTGATGTCACGAAACAAGCTATCCAACCTACCGAGAATGGCAATCAGTACGTGGATCTCACCATCAACAACAAGCCCGCTCGTGCAATGGTAGATACTGGAGCAACTCATAATTTCATGACTGAGGCTGACGCAAAAAGACTGGAATTGAAGCTTGCTCCAACCAACTCTCGCGTCAAGACCGTGAATGCCGAGATACAGAATTCTCGTGGGGTAGCTAATGGAGTTGGTGTCAAATAGGGAACTTGGAAAGGTATGACAAACTTTACCGTAACCGCTATGGATATCTTTGACATCATACTGGGGCAAGAGTTCTTTAGACATTGTCATACTTTAATCGACCCCTACCTCCAACGTCTCTTGGTTATGGAGCGAGAAGGAGCTTGCATGGTACCTATAGTGACTATGCCACACGGACAGATCCAAGCACAACTCTCAGCTATGCAGGTTGTCAAGGGGATCAAGAAGGGGGAGCCGACGTTCGTGGAAACCATTGCAAGTCTAGAGGAAGACAAAAATTTTCAAGAGACATTGCCGCCTTGCATAGAGAAGTTTCTTAAGGAAAACAAAGATGTCATGCTTGAGGAGTTGCGTAAGCACTTGCCGCCCAGACAAGATTTGAATCACAAGATTGAGTTGGAGCCAGGGGCTAAGCTACCTGCATTTGCCCCATATTGTATGGCACCTCCCGAGCTAGAGGAGATCAGGAAACAATTGAAGGAGTTGCTAGATGCTGGTCACATTCGCCCATCAAAGGCACCTTTTGGCGCACTAGTATTGTTCTAGAAAAAGAAGGATAAATCGTTGCGTTTGTGCATAGACTACCGAGCACTTAATAAGGTCACCGTGAAGAATAAGTACCCGATCCCGCTCATTGCTGACTTGTTCGATAGACTTGGGCAAGTCAAGTACTTTACCAAGGTGGATCTTCGAAAGGGCTACTACCAGGTTTGCATTGCGGAAGGGGATGAGCCAAATAAACATGCATGACGAGATATGGAGCCTTTGAATGGTTGGTGATATCCTTCGGCTTAACCAATGCACCGACCACATTTTGCACCCTTATGAATAAGATCTTCCATCCCTACCTTGATCAGTTCGTGGTAGTCTACCTAGACGACATAGTCATCCACAGCAACACCTTGGAGGAGAACATGGAGCACTTAAGGAAGGTTTTCCAAGTCATGCGAGAGAACGAGCTATACATCAAGAGGGAGAAATCTGAGTTCGCACAATCAAAGGTGCACTTCTTGGGCCATGTCATTAGCAATGGAGAGCTATGCATGGATGAGGCTAAGGTACATGTTATCCAGGAGTGGGAGGCACCTATAAAGGTAACTGAGTTGAGATCCTTCCTTGGCCTTGTTAACTACTATTGTCGGTTCATCAGTGGATACTCAGCAAAGGCCGCACCATTGACTAAGTTGTTAAAGAAGAACAAGCCATGGATTTGGATGGAGCATTGTCAAAAGGCATTTGAATGTCGTAAGACAACTGTAACAGAGGAGCCAGTCTTGGCATTACCTGACTTTGCCAAGACATTTGAGGTGCACACAGATACCTCAGACTTCGCCATTGGAGGTGTCCTGATGCAGGATGAGCATCCCATAGCATTTGAGAGCCACAAGTTAAATGAGACGGAGCGGCGTTACATGGTACAAGAGAAGGAAATGACTGCCATTGTGCATTACCTTCGTACATGGAGACATTATCTGCTCGGGTCGAGGTTCGTGGTCAAGACTAATAATGTGGCTACTAGCTACTTTCAGACACAGAAGAAGCTTTCACCAAAGCAGGCTAGGTGGCAGGATTTCATGGCCAAGTTTTATTATGCGCTGGAGTATAAGCCGGGAAAAGGTAATGTTGTAGCCGATGCCTTGAGCCGGAAAATCAAGCTTGCTGCAATTACTTCAATGAGATGGGACATTAGGGAGGCTATAAAAGAAGGCAAGATGAGACGGTTTAGGGGGCCAAATAGCTTATCGAATTAGCCAACAAAGATAAGATGAGACGGTTTTGGATAGAAGACGTCCTACTACTTACCACAGGTCGGCGGGTCTACATGCCTAAATTTGGATACATTAGACGACTGATCATAAGGGAGAGTCATGACACAATATGGGCTGGTCATCCAGGTCAACATCGCACTAGGGCCCTGGTTGAGTCAGTCTACTATTGGCCACGTATGCGTGATGACATAGAGTGCTATGTGCAGGCTTGTCTTGTCTGTCAACAGGACAAGGTTGAACAGCAACAACCCGGAGGACTTTTGGAGCCACTACCAGTTGCAGAGCGTCCATGGGAAAGCGTAACTATGGACTTTATTACTTGCCTACCGAAGTCCGACGGTTATGGTACTATTATGGTGGTCGTGGATAGATTTTCCAAATATGCCACTTTCATGCCCGCCTCACCAGGTTGCACAGCCAAGGAAGCCGCCAACCTGTTCTTTAAGAGCGTGGTGAAGTATTGGCGCTTACCAAGGCATATAATCAATGATCGAGACCCCCACTTTACTGGAAACTTTTGGAGAGAGTTGTTTGACATACTTGGTATGGAGCTACACTTTTCTACTAGTTTCCACCCACAGACGAATGAAAAAACGGAACGAGCAATGCCTTACTAGAATGCTACTTGAGGCATTATGTAAGCGCGCATCAGAAAGATTGGGCAAAGCTCCTAGACATTGCCCAATTCTCTTATAACTTGCAGTGGAGTGAGTCCACTGGGCGGACACCATTTGAGCTAGCCAGAGTCCAACAACCACAAACTCCACATTCATTACCAGCCGCGTTCGAGGGAAAGAGTTTGGGGGCTTATCATATGGCCAAAGGATGGGAGGAGCAGCTCGACACTGCTAAGTCCTACTTGGATAAGGCAGCTAAGAAGATGAAGAAGTTTGCCGACCGTAAGCGGCGTCCCACATACTATAGAGTTGGGGACATGGCCATGGTGAAGTTTAACCCAAGACAGTTCAAGGCACTATGGGGCATTTATCAGAATCTGATTCGCAAGTATGAGGGGCCATTTACGATCGTCGCCAAGGTAGGCAAGATCTCATACAAGCTTGACATGCCATCATATCTCAAGATCTACCTTGTCTTCCATGCTAGCATGCTTAAGCCATATCATTAAGATAAGGATGATCTGAGTAGGGGCCAATCAAGCCGGGCCCCAATGACTATCACCACCTCGCATGATCGGGAGATTGAGGCTATCATAGATTACCAGGTCAGGCAAAAACAAGGGCAAAAAGCCACCGCTATGTTCCTCGTCCATTGGAAAGGGCAATCACCGGAGGAGGCCACGTGGGAACGATATGAAGACTTGTGGCAATTCAAAGATAAGATCCGAGAGTTTATGCAGTAGCATTGCGCCGCGGTCGTCGCAATATTAGGTCAGGGAGAGTGTGATGACCCGCCATGTCATCATGCCACATAGGTGCGATTTAGCATATATTAATGTCATATGGAAGCTTACATAAGAAGAAGGCTAGCATTTGTGAGAAGATTCTAGAAAGGTGTGGACATTTCCTTAGGAAGAACCTAGATCCTTATGGATTTGCTAGGAAAGTCCATGGAATCTTCTAGGCTTGTAGAGAATTCTAGAAAAAACCTTTATCTTGTAAATATCAAGGACTTGTATAATAATTAATATTTACACACTAGCCCCTAGGAGACTAGTATATAAAGGGGGTCATTCATTTGTAATTCATCAAGCAAACAATTCAAGTTCTCTCTAATACAAAGCTTCCTTTAACTATTCTCTTGTGTTCTTTCTTCCATTCTCTTAGCGATCTTGAGTGTAGTAAGGTTGACTTGACATAGCAAGAACGTGAGCAAGTTGTGCAAGATCGTGAGTGAGTTGTCAAGTGCCGCATGTGTACTTAGTTAACAACTAAGGACGTGACATCAATGACTATAATGCATTTTAGAAATTACACACGAGAGACGTAATATGGTGATGTAGTTTCGTATAAACAACACTAATAGGTAAGCTATATCGATTCATTGAAGACATAATTAAGTAATATATGTGTACCTTCTTTAACTCCTTAAACTTTCATATGAGATCGTAACACAGTTCAATAAGTATATTATAATTTCTGTCCTAGCGGCGACCAGTACAGGTACATGCATGATTTATTCGTCATTGAGATTTGAAACCACAAAACCAGGAGAAGCTAGCGTTTACATATTATTCCTTTTCCTTAAATTATAAATGCCATCTTCACAAGAATTAATGAACGCAGCCATGATATTCTTAACATAGGTACGTAACTAAGGAAAGTGTTCTTGACGGGACGTGGTGGAATGAATGATGTAACACTCCTTAAATTAATAAAAATTTCGAGACACGCTAATAATAAAATTAAATTATTATTATTATTATTATTATTTATTTTGCCTATAGTGAAAATAATATATATATATATATATATATATATATAATTGGATATACAATTAGAGAAATATTAATAATTTTAATATTATTAATTATTAAAAGAGAATATCATTAATTACTAATTAAATTTTAATAAAAAAAGGAAAAAGCAAAAGAAAAAGGCGTGCAAGCCAAGCCCGTAAAGGGCTCTTGGCAGGAAAAAGGCATAAGCCTTGGGAACAAAAAAAAAAGGAACAGAACCCCACGTTCTGTTGCCAAGAAACAGCAGCGCTTTACAGCAAAATACTCACGGAAGATTCTAGGTTTTATTACGAATCACTAATTCTTCAATTCAGATATATAAAATTTCTTATTGCCAATTACCCTACAGTAGTATTAAGTAAGAATTGAGTAGTTATTTCCTTTCTTCCTCTATATCAACAATAAATTTCATATTTAGGTGTAGTACTTTAAAATTGATTAAAATGCACTAGTTGTTGTAAAATCGATTGTTTGACTGGTGTCAATTGGACTGGGGCCTACGTATTGGTTTGAGAAGTTTTGAGGTGAGTGATAACTAGGGAATATGATTCATTTTACACTCCTTCTTACTTGAGTTTTGATTAAAAATGCATACAAAATAGTCCCAAAGGCTTACATATTGTACTTGTTTGCAAGGTTTGGTCAAAAAGGTGACAATTAATCAAATTCAGCTCAAAAATGAGTGAAACATGCATAAATACCAAGAACAAGTCCAAACACAGTGCAACAGGTTCAATGCGGCCGCACTCTAGTTAGTGCGGTCCGCAGTGAGAAAGTTCAGAGAGGTGCCTATTTCGAACATTCAAGCAATGCAGCCACAAAAGCAGTTTGTGCGGACCGCATTGGCCTCACTGCGGCCGCACTCGATATTATGTGGTCCGCAAAGCTGGAGTTCAGAGAGTTGGGAATTTTGAGGCTGACACCAATGCGGTCTGCGGTCCTTTTTGTGTGGACCGCAATTAAAGCCATCGTGGCCACGGTGCATTTTTTGCAGCCCGCGGTAGCCAAGTTTAGAGAGCAGATATTTAAAGCCAAAAGTCTCACTGCGGCCGCACTCGATTTTTTGAGGACCGCACTACCCCCGCAGGGGTATTTTTGTCTAGAAAATTCGGCCTATTATAAATAGTTTCTTTTCCTATTTTTAGGTCATCAGTTGTAATTTAACGCTCAGCTGCGCTCGTGAACAGTGTTGCTTACCCATTTTGAGTAATTTTAGAGTAGTTTTATCATTGAATCTTCTAGTATTAGCTTGTAATTAAATATTATGGGTTTATCTTCATCTATTTCTTAGTTTTCTTCTATTATCATGAGTAGCTAGACCCATTAGCTAGGGTTGTGGCTCAATCCTAATGTGGGTATTTGATGGGTCTTGAGTTTTATGGCTTGAATGTCTATGAGTGTTTGATATTTGGACTAATTTGTGGTTTCTATGTTGAATTAGTAGTTGCAAACACTAATTTGTGGCTATTTGACTTGGGTTCTTATTGAGAAAGAGAACTTGAGTCAAGGAAAATTAGTTCAACGAGGAATTGCGGCATATTCAAGATATTGATAGCCCCAATTCAAGGGTTAAACCTAGAGATAGTAATATCCGACTTGAACCTTAATTGCTTGCACAAATTATCATACCCAATTGGTCTTGAGAAAGTCAATTAGGGTAAAATCACTCAAACTACCGAGAGGTATAGAGTGAAAAGTTTAGTGCATTGATTATATCGTAATCCTCAACATGACAACCTAGCCTTAGACTCGAGAACCCGTCAAGTATCCACCTAGGAGAAAGTCACTTCCCTAGTGCCTTCTTAACTATTTAGACAATCTTTCAAGTATCTTACTCTTAGCTTAATTTAGAATCTTATTAGCATAAAATTAGAAGTAATCAAGAGACCAACTATGATTAAAAGTGCAATTAAGAGCAATTACACATCTCTAACTTAGATAGAAACCTAATTCCCATTTCTAGCTCCCTGTGTAAATCGATCCAGACCTTCTCGGGTAAAATCTGCTTCGACCACTCTCGCTACTTTGTAGTAGTGCAGGGTTGGCTCCGATCACTTTTTGGCGCCGTTGTCGGGGAGCTAACAATTTTGGCTATCTATCTAAATAGTTTTGTGTATTGTTCTTCTTTCCTTTTGTGTTACTAATTTGTGTGTGTCACAACTTGAGGTACAAAATGGCAGCAAACAATGCACCTCTCAGAGATCTTCCGTCGGGGGGAGGATGTAGATGACAATGTTGATGATGAGGTTCATATTGTACCTCAAGGCCAAAGAAGAGGCCGCCAGGACAATGATAATATTCCAGACCCTCGCTCGCCACCTTCTAGGGTGGATCCTCGAGTGCTTTGCAATCAAGGATATGCAAGTGCAATTGTCCCACTGCGGATCAGAGCGGACAATTTCAAATTACCAATGTGAAGCTGACATTGCTGGAGCAGCGTGGGTATTTCACGGGCACTGCCAATCAGAATACATACAAATATTTCAAGGGTTTCATGGATACCTGTTGGGGAGCAAGCAAACTTATGTGTCCGAGGATGCACTTCGGTTGAGACTATTCCCTTTCT